GTTTCAGCTATAATTTTTCTAAAATCTAAAAAAACAAATATACATTACACAATCTCTCCAAACATTTTTTTTTTCCATTTTTTTTAAAAAAAAAAAAAAAAAAAAAAAAAAAAAAAAAAAAAACCTCAAGATTTCGTAAAATCTATGGCAATATATACCCATCTTTCCCCAACCAACCCGTTACTCACACCCTCCTTTATAGCCGTTTCGTAATACCTTCTAAACATAGCAATTCCTGTACCTACGTAAACAGGGGGTATCATATAGTCTAAGGTACATCAAATAGTAGATATTTCTAAATTTATATCACATACATATAAATATTCAATCACCGGAGTCTGTCCCGTATTGCTCTTAATGCCACTAACGACTTGTTGCGTTAATACGTATTAGCAAAGAAAGCAGTTTGCACAAGGTAACTGGGAAGGCCATTGCTTCTTTGGATTCAAATATGCCGAGAGGATAAAAGGGTTGCGATCAAAACAACTTTGTCTTAGGGCGCAGCGTGACTAGCAGCCCCTTTTCGATTCCCACTCTTGGTGACGAAAGCAACGCATACAAGGATACCAAGACCCGCAAGGCCGATGCCCATGTAGTAAGCCGCTCGGTATCCTTTCAGGATGTCCGCTGGAGTTTCCCCGCCCTTGTTGATTTGCGTCTCGACGGTGCCTGCAAACCCTAACCCTAAAGAGATGCTGTAGTTAACCACGGTGTTAACTAAGCTCGCAGCGATGCCTTGGTGCTTTCGGGGTACGGAGTCGGAGAGGATGACGGTTCCTGCAGGAAAGCTCATGTCCACTACAACAAGAGTTAGTTACTTCTAGCGAGAAGTTTGGGGCTGTCACATATTGCTCATATATTGTAAGGCGTAGTAACCCCTTCACCAGTGTAAGAAAGAAGCACTGGCTTCTATGGAAGGCATCAAAGTAAAAGAAAAATCCTAATATTACTTACTCCCCCAAGGCATGATCAGGGTGGAGACGAAGAACTGGCCCCAGTAGACCTGCTCAACAGGACAGGTTGCGACGATGATAATGCCGGTTGTAAAGAAAACCAGAGCCATTGTCATAACTATTGGAGGCCTAAGACGATGTAAAGTATAACCTGTAAAGAGGGCAGCTATAATTCCCGAGGGAACTGTCGGAGAGAGCATCCCCGTAGCCAACAGAGGCGGAACCTTTCGGAGGACAAGTAAGAATTCCCACGCGTAGAAGAACCAAATACCAAAGCAAGACCATCCACATGCTATAGCAGCTAAGACGAAAGATACCTCATAGGAAAGGGCGTTGAAAGGAATCAGAGGGTGCTGCGCGAATTTCACTTCGAATACGAAGAAGCCGAAAAGAAGCAGCAACCCGACAATGAGCAAGACGTAAACATAAGGCTGGGCCCAACCGACAACGGGAGCTTGATTCCATGCGAAGTTGATGAGAACGAGTCCACCTACGCCGAGGAGCGTCCCTACAAGGTCAAGCTGTTGTATAGTATCCTTTAGCCCTTTAGGTCTAACATGACGCATGTTCGAAGCCGACGGGATGGCATAGTATCCTATGACGACGGTTGCAGCGAGAACAATGCCAAACACCCAGAAGGCCCAAGGCCACCAGGCGAGGGTAAGAACGGCGGCGAATAGCGAGCCGATGGAGGACCCTGTCGGTGCCATAGCGCCGAAAATAGCGAAGACCATCTCCTTGCGTCGGCCGGGGGCGTAGGTAACGCCGAGGATAGCCAATCCGTTTGGAAGGATGATGGCGGGGCCGATGCCCTGGAGGACACGGGCGAATACAAAAAGGACATGGTTCGAGTAGACGGCGAGGCCGCATACGGTGGTCCAGATGGAATACCAACCCATACCGATAAGAAATAAGGTCTTATGGCCGAAGACATCGCCAAGCCTTCCAGAGAACAGGATGAATGTGCCTATAGTTAAGCTGTAGCCGGCCATAAACCAGCTGAGCTCTCCGGGGTTGGTGATACCGAAATCACTCCCAATTATATGAATGATGCTTATAGTTTGACCAAGGCCATTCTCTTGATGTACGATTGTTAGCTGGAGTAAGGATCAAGTGGTGTTTTTTTTTATATTTATATTTTTGTTCAAAAATATAAATGAAGCATAAAGGAGTAGGTTACATACGCGTATAGAGCTGCGCAAGGCAAATAACAAAAACAAATAGGATTTCCCGAGGCAGAGAGAGCGTTTCGGCGATGGACTTGTTGGTATCGGTCCTCGTCAAGTCTCGACTTCGAGTACGCTTCTCTTCCTCTACCTGCTCGTCTCCCCTCATCTTGCCGCCATCCTTCTCATCGCTGCTCGTCCACGAGTCATCCCGATCGGAAGTAATACCAGACTGTGGCCGTATCGCACCATCGCTTGACAACTCTAACGGCCCGTCCGTCCTAATTTCCTGCCGATTTGTAGCAGGCACTTCCGTGGCGCTAGAGGCGCTAGAGTCGATGCCCTCGTGTCTGTTGGCTCCCATTCCCGGTAGGTGAGCCTAATAGTTAAAAATTAGTAGATAGATTGAAATTCTCAAGGAAAGGCTCCTAAAGGAATGAGAAGGAGAAAGGGAAAGAAAAAAAAGAAGAGCAAAAGCCACATGTGGTGATGTTGAGCATTTGAGAAAGTCCTAAGGTAAAAACAGTTCTTTTTCTTCTTTTTTTTCAACTCTCCGCCCGACAAATTAAATGGGACTGTCTCTCGTCACAAAGCAAAAAAGGCCATTGGATACTTAGAAAATCTTATATTCCTAAGCAATTGGTAAGTATTCTTACAGGGGAATGAGAGAATCTAAAAGCTAACGTGCCTCTTTCTCTCGTCTAGGGGGGCTCTTACTAGGATCAAGCGGGTTGCTTCTTTGATCCACCACATCGTCGCTTATTTCCGACGATGAATCGGACGCCCAAGATGGTTATAAGTTATCCCGGTTTACTTGCGCTTACGCCGAAGATAAAGAAAAAGGCCCACCTACAAATTTGAGACGTCCTTAATCCATGCAGTAGGAACCTATTATACGCACCGGTCCGAACCGGATCTTATAGCTCGGGTTTAGATCTAAAAGGGAATGGTTATTATTATTATAAGTTATCCATATGAGTACCTAGGTACCTATATATAACTAGTATGTTGAAGGTTGGAAAATAGTTGCATTGGAGGTAGTTAACCTACCTAGATAATTAGTTAATTCTAATCTTATGACCAGTATAGAGCGTACGTATCTAAGGTGCCATGCTTTTGGTGCTCTATGTACATAATGTAAGACATACATATTCACAAATAACGCCACGCTGATCTTGATCTTGATCTTAAAACATGATGAACTATACTATAGAGGTAGCAATAACAGGTTATATGCCTACCTTAGGTACCTTAGGTACGGTAAATAACGTCATACTACCTATATAATTTAGAACCATGATATTGTCTCTTCACTGTTGACTGTTCACATGCAAGAGTAGTCTAAAAAAACCCCTTCTTGACGTACAACCCTTGATGGTACATGATATGTGATCCAATGCAAGGGCCCTGATTGTAACAATCCTTGAAATGATCCCCCTTATTACCACATAGAGAGTTGCAGAGGTGGGTATGATTCCCACCAGACTCCCAGCACTATGAATAGCCTGCAGGATTCGCCCCCAACAAATCACTAGGTACCTAACTTAATCTTGCCAAGTGAATTTTGGCAATATTGATCATAGTACGTACATACATAGGTAGTTAGACGGGAAGTATCTGGCGTTCAACATTCTGCCACACTGAGTTGATGTAGAAAGCGATTTTTTCCACCGAGCCTCGATACTCAAGCAGGCTCTAAACGATAATCGGGATGTTACCGTGACTTTTGCTATCGAGCATGTCGCTTATATCGAATGAGGCGGTAGGCTACCGAACTCAAGGATAACGTATCTCGGGATGCTATTTGCATCATCCCGTGAATGCGAGCTACCGAGTGAACGGATTCATACAGGCGTCGTGGAATGCATCACCAACAAACATGGATTTGCTTGTTGAGCAGGCGTCGCCGACGTGGAAACGCTTGAGTCACGATCTATAGAAACGTCGGATTGAAAGCCGATCTTGATCCCACGCAGACCCCTTCGACGCGGCCTGCCGAAGTGACGAGCGCTTTTATCACAGGACACGTGTCAGTGTATCGCTACTATTCGCTAGAATCAGCTTCGGCATACCTATTCCACCGTCCATTGGATGACCAGTTCTGCTTTCTATTTACTTTTTCTTTCTTATGCGCCGTCGGGGCTCGGAAATGCCGATTAGCAGGACGGGATGAAGCGCATAGATGCGTGATAACGAGGCAGGGTAGGTCCCCTAACCACGTTCCGGTATCCCGGTCCTAAGGACAACTAGCAAGGCTATCAACTAGCCCTGTAAGGCTGATGATGAGGCATGTTTACATCGTTGTCTCATGAAATATCATAGAACATAACCTCAGCTGCGACTAAGTTGATAGTTACCTATCACCCTGGTCACTACACCTGGCTCCATATGCAACTGAATCAGAAACCCCCCTTATCACAACGAGTACGCTGGCGGCTAGTTGCGGTGCTGTCGTCACAAGTTACTGGTGAAGCCTGTGTTACTAGTTTGCCAACTTCCGTACGAACGCCTCATCGGGCGGTCGCGCATCTCCGGGTACGACGAAAAGAGCGCAGTTTGCTATGTTGAATATGAACTGATGAGTCGCATTAAAGGCTGAGAGAGCCCACCCATATATTCAGTAGAGTAGCTAGAACACTAGTTCGAGTAGACACCTTCCCCCTTACTTCTCAGTTACATCACGATAGACGGTGGAATACTCTCGACAATGACTACACCAGGCGATCCTCAAGCCAAAGTTTATTCCCACATCAACGGGGGAGAAAGCGATATCCTAGCCAGGCTTGCTGTGACCGAGTTGTGCAAAGGCTGGCCTATATATCGCGATGCGTCAGAGTGGAAGAATTTCCGCTCCCTTTTCTCTGACGACGCGTGCGTCTGGACAAGTCAGTGACTGCCTCCTAAAATCAAGATCGTGGGAGCATGGAAAGGCTAATCATCCTCATCTAGCATGGAGCAAGCGTCAACCCATCGACAGCTTTATTGAAAAATCAAAGGAGGGAAAGTCAAACGGCGACTTCATCTTGCATCGCGAATGCGGTACTCTCGTAGAGTTAAACATGACAACGCTCCGCGCAGTTGGCAAGATGAAGGCGACGATAACCCAGCGATTCAAGATTGGAGAGGGTAGTAGTGTAGGGCTTGAACCCGTCATATTCGACGTGGACTGCGACTCTCGGTTTCATTTCTTTTGCTTCTACGACTCGGATACCAATGAATGGAAGGTCAAGTACGTCAAGTTGATATATGAGAAAGACAAGCTTGTTCCTGTCGACGGAAATGCCTCCCCGGGTTTCCCCAAGGATGCACTTGATAGGTACCCAGAAGGGTACAAGTATCTCGGTGCTGCCCAAAGCATGCTCGGGCATGATATTGACGCTTCTCTTCCAACCATTCAAGGTTCGGAATATGGGTCCTGGGAAGTGCCACGGTTGGAGTTATACGAGAAGATGGAGGAATGGCTCGACGGCGCAGATGACATTGACCTTTCAACGAACCATGGCCACAAAGCCACCAACGGAAAGGATGCGCACAAAGAGCGATAAACTGATGATGATGAATTCTTACACAATGCAGAATCTACACTGTTCGCATAGAGGGCATAGCTAAGGCATGCCTATATAGCACTTGAATGTTTCTAGGAATAACCGAGGGGGTCAAAAGGGTTAAGCTGGTCAGAGATACGATACACAGGTTTAGAATAGTAGGTAATAACACGCAGTGCGCAAGATGAACTTATTACATTTGGCAAACCATTCTTCGTCTATGTCATGAGATAATGCTTATATTTGCTTTGCCCGAGATGTAACCTGAAGGTTTATTCTTGAGAACAGCTATGCAAGGCTTTATAGAATACCACCATTCGGCGTATCACATCGTACCGGTGTCCCAATGGGTAGCTAGTTGATGATAAGGAGGGTTGAGGTATTAGGGCCGAACAGCCACGGGAACAAGTAATGATACTGCTCTACATTAGGTAGTAAAAGGTTGGACACACAGCTCACGCCAAGCTGGTGGTATACTAGTTCAAGTATTGGTCTTAGCTATACCAAATTTTTACAGAATATCATTATTAAAAAGCACCAATGGAAATTTATTACATTGCTACAGTAGCTCTTATTCCCCTGATTTCCCCCGCCATCAAAATATCACGAGTGTTAGTAACCAAAAAAAAAAAAAAAAAAAAAAAAAAAAAAAAAAAGAAGCGCTCACTACGAACAAGGGTGGTATATACTCTTATGAAACCGCAACGTTGCGCTTTATCTATATATTTGTAGTGCTTCCATTACAATTGTCAATGTCTCGAGTTACATCTATCAAAACAACACCTCTGTAAGCACCAAGCAGTTGTCGGATAGCCGGCAGCTTACTATCATCTTATCGTGTCGTAATACCTACCAGGAGGCTGAACATATGGGGAGAGAGGCAAGTTTTAGATAATAAGCCTTACTTACTTGGCATGGTTTTCCTTGAGTGCCTCCGCCAATTGTGCATGGCCTCGAAGGATTATTTTCGAGGTGTTTGGCGGTTAAAATAGACTCGACTATATACCAGCTAAGGACGATATCAATAAGCACTCCTTACTTGCATACCAGTTGGTAGACACAGGCACGCAGGTCTGAAACAGCAAGTTTTTTTTTTATTGTCTCGGCAGTCGGAATGGAAGCCATAATTTTATATGAATTCAGCATCTTTATAATTCACGAAAACGTCACACTTGCACACTACGGATGGAAACTATAGCTATTGCAATGCTGTAGCAATTCGATGTCCTATGACACAACGAAGACGTAGGCCAGGTAGCCTCGATTCATTTATGTCACAGGGATTTAACTGATATGCCACAGTGTCTCTAGGGGCTATACTTTTAAAACTTTTATAGCTATGCGCGTATAACAAGCTAACGTTTAGATATACTGGACATAGTGAATGGAGGGTTCAAAACTAGAGGTAACTGGGATATTCCTAGGTAAAATCGTACGTTAATAGTATACACGCCCATTTATTAGATTCTAATGTGTTGTACGTAAAGGCGGTGGGGGCCGTACGATGGGATCGATGGGAATCGATGTCTTGGCAGGCAACATTTTCAAGTCCTGTCTTACATGTCATGCCGTCTTACATGCTTTGTACCGCTTGAGCTTACATGAACTACATTAGGTAGGTACAATATATGTCAGCCTCTGGGTGCCACTCAAGCCCACAGCATTCCGATTATCGGTGATGACGACAAGGTAGGCTGTGAAAAGCCTCACTTGCTGCCGAACGTTCCGCATCATTACCTAGGTATTGTCCAATCTAGTGGAATCATGAACAACTCCACGAGTCAGTTAGTTCTAAAAGAGATATATTTTAGATCGCTGCATCCTGCTACCTAACCCGGAAATTCGGGGAACGCACGGCATTTCTCGTTAGCAAACTAACCTATTAAAGATTATAGGCGGGGTGTCTAGCCGGGTGCCTTATGTACTGAGTACCTAAAGTTATTAGTGGTATATTTAGCTCGTAACAAATGTAACCTAGCAGCTCGGTACCTAGGTAGCACAACCGACCGGAAGACACGGACGTAGAATGTAGTTGTACCTGTTTTGTTTTTAAAGTGCTTTACTTCCAACTTTTAAAATACTGAAAATCGTAAACGGATGAGTCCGGCTCATCTTTTGCATATCATGTAATTCTCCTATGTATACTATCATATGCAGTGTGACTTGGTCTTCTCGGACTAGAACCGGAAATGCTAAGGTCTAGGTAATGTTAGTTGTCAGCATTGAATTGACTTATTTCCCTGCAAGAAATTTAACAACCAAAAGCTGTCGGCCACGGTAGTTACATATTGTTTTTTTTTTTTCTCACGACTTTGTCTGCTTGTGACGTGGGGATGTATAGAATGTTCACATGATCGATGGGTCTTGACTCTTGACCCTCTCTTATGTACCTATGTATTACCTTAGGTAGGGACCACTTATCATGAGAGAATGATCATCAGCACTTGCGACTCGTCTCTGCAACTTGTAAATGTGTACACATGATGGAGATATGATAAAAGCTAACGTACTGTATTTCTCAACTACCCAAAGAAAAGCATTTGGAATTTTGGAATTTGCATACAGTAGGTACATACCTTATATATATATCATGCCGTACTATACTAGGTATATAGGTACCTAGTTACAGGTATATGATCTTACATGTAAGTACCTAGGTAAGTTATATCAGATAAGCAAATACCGACTGCGCCGCTATAGAGCGCAGTTACTAGCAAGGAAGCTTTCTTCTAGTTTCCTCTAATCTTTAAGGATTTCCAGCACTGGCAAGGGTCTACCCTTGGATGCACTACATCATAGGAAACTCACCCTGGAGTTAGCGCCCATCTTTGTTGTTTTATTAGGTAGTGACATACCGTCATCTGCCGCCCTAAACGCATCTCAACTGGTCAACCCCGGTCAATCTAGTCAACCGGGCCAACCTAGATCGCTTTAAACTATCGAAAGGGTATATTCTAACAACCGTCCTATGTCCACTCTCACCGACAAGGGAAGAAAAGGAAGAGAAAAAAAAAGGCCCCTGCAAATAATACTGCCATAACAATTGCCTTATTTGCATCCAGGTAGTCAGGCAGTCAAAGCAGTCAGGCAGTCAGGCCAACCACATCATCCATACTACTACCTTTCCATACTACCTCGTTGACCGCATCGAGTTCGCCCTAATTCACCCGCATTTGTATTGCATTTGTATTGTGCGGTCTTACTCCCCGCTGCAAACGTTTCTTTCTCACCGTTGCGTTCCAGTCAAATACTGCTTTCTCATTTACTTAAGACTTTAGGTACCTACACTTACACGCATTGGGCGGGGGAGTACACAAACATACGTACGATTCATACGGCTCGCAGCACATCATCAGCACATCCCGGACTTTCCATCCAGCCATCCAGGTCTTTCCCTTCAAGCGGTTATTTACTTTTTTGTCTCTGCCCTACTCAGCAACCCAGCAAAGACAACCAGCCATCTAGCCCTGTCTATCATTTACATTTGGGTCTTCCCCCCCACCAGTATCTACTATCAACCATGACTTGGTTATGATTCACCTTGCTGTAGGTTCTACCCTCCTTCCTATTCTCTCTACATAGTAACACACAATCATCGTACTGTTCTTTTCAGCCTTCCCTACTTTTCCTTTCTTAATTTTTTTCTCTTCAAACCTTGTGGCCTATATCTCCTGGCCACGCTTAACCTATGATGCCTATCAACATTTGATTCTGTTACCACGCACGCGCTCCTGCTTAGCACAAGTTGTCGCCGCATGATTCGGAGCTATCCCGTCCGTCCGCATTGTGTAATTTTTGCTAGCCTGGCATGCGCCATGCTAAGCATAGCTTAAGCACGGACTCGACCTAATAAGTAGACGACGGGAGAAGAGAGCACTTGGTTCTCTTTGCGCATTTTCGGCAACCAAACATTTTATTTTTATTTATTTTTTTAGTTCGTTATTCCTAACAGCATCATCATATCATGGCAGACGTAAGCGGCCCAGATCGCCCGGAACAGTACGCATACCCTGTAGCTGGGAACGTCTATTATAGGCCGAGGTCTTTAGAACGGAGACACCGCCCAACTCCGAGCCTACCCACCCCGCATATCCGACCACGCCAGCGTCGACCTCAGTCTATCCATATCGTCTCCTATCCCGCCGGCTATACGCCACCCGACTTAAGACCGGCTCCATTTGTGAAGTCCAAGTCATCTAAGTTTAGGAAGGAGAAGAGTAATAGAGCCGAAGCAAAAAAGGAAGACGGATCAGGATATAAAAGTTCACCAAGACGGGTAATTCAGAAGGTATTGGGACCTTTGAAGCTCCACTTCTCGCAATACGTGGCTGTGGATAATCCTACGCCTCCTACGCCTCCTAGCGCTTCCGGCAATTCGAGACCAACCCCAAGACCGAGACCGTGCACACCTAGTAACCTGTGTGTTCGACCGCAATCTATGTTTGTGTTCCCTTCTTCCACACCACCCTCAATGCTGGGCACCTCTGTCATGACGGCTCCCGCGCAGTCGCCCATGCTGGCGGCACCCTCCCACTCTTCCCATCGAAATAGTATCATCTCGGTGCGTTCAGCAAAAAGCATAATGAGTTCGATAACCGAAGTCCCAAAGCCGGTAGCGAGCGGAAGCGGAGTTTCGTGTTCTATCATCCTAGCGGAGCCAAACGTCTTTCTTACTGGGTTCGAGCACGACGGCCAGCCGCGAAACGACGCGGCTAACTCCACGGCACTATTGAGGGGTAAATTGCAGTTGAACGTATCAAAAAATGTGAAGATAAAGTCGGTGATCCTAAAACTCCACGGCAGGGCCAGGACCGAATGGCCGGAGGGCATACCGCCACTGAAGGTTGATCAATTCGAAGAGGAATCTCTCAGGACGCAGGTGTTAGCGTTCTTCCACGCCGCACACGAGACGGGAGAGACCGAGTTTGGAAACCAGTGTACATATTCGATTCGAGGTAACGCTGAATGTGCTACCGGTCGCCGGGGTGCCTCCCCTTCCCAGTCGACAATCTCTTTAGCCCTGAAGAATCGGCCGAGCGCCCACCTGACAGCCCGCGATTACAAGCGATTATCGCTCCAGTCTGTGCAGTCTCGTAGCTTCGGCAAGGGCGATACTCCCAACCCAAATATCGTACAGCCGAAGACTTACAAAGTATTTTATCCCGGCACTTACGAGTACTCTTTCGAACTTCCAATCGACCACCACCAGCTCGAGACTACCAAGCTCCAATTTGGATCGGTCAAATGGGAACTAGAGGCAATCGTAGAGCGAGCAGGGGCCTTCAAACCCACGCTTCATGGTACCAAGGAAGTCTGTATCGTGCGTGTCCCAGACCAGCTATCCCTCGAAATGACGGAGCCCATCTCCATCAGCAGGCAGTGGGAGGATCAGCTGCACTACGACATAATGATATCGGGAAAATCCTTTCCTATCGGTACCAAAATACCTATCGCTTTCAAATTGACGCCTCTAGCTAAGGTGCAGGTTCATAAGCTTAAAGTGTTTGTGACCGAATCCGTTGAGTATTGGACCAACGACCGCCGGGTCACTCGGAAGGACCCGGGGCGGAAGATACTGTTGCTAGAGAAATCGGCGGGGAAACCTCTGGATAAGCAGTTCGAGGCGTCCGATGTGAAAGTTTTGAGCGGTGGCGAGCTGACTCCCGAACAAAGACACGAAGCACGCATTGCAGCGCAACGGCGGCGGAGCATAGAGGCCTCGAGGGCACACACGGTACCCGAGCCGCTACCAGAGCCCACGGATAACCTGTTAGGTGATCTAGATCTAGGCTTGGAGGCTTATTGGGGATCGACGGAGATTGAGATGAATGTCCAGATTCCAACTTGCTCGCAGATGGCCAAGGACAAAAGCTTGAGATTACATCCCGACTGCAGTTGGAAGAATGTTAACGTATACCACTGGATTAAGGTATTATTAGCCCCCCCTTGTTTTTGTTATTGTTGTTGCTGTTATTTTGTAAAATATCCGGGATAGCAACGAATGTCTAACGGACCTTTTATAGATTGTCATGCGCATCTCTCGTCTTGATCCTGATGATCCCGCAGGTAAGCGGCGTCGACATTTCGAGATCAGTATCGACTCACCTTTTACCGTCCTCAACTGCCGTGCTACGCAAGCCAACACCGCTCTGCCCGAGTATTCGGGTGCTGAACAGCCCATGTATCGCCAGCAGGCTAGTTGTGGTTGTCCCGACGCTGAGATACTCGCCACGAGCCCTAGCCCCGCATCAAGCACAGGTACAATACCTTCCGTCGAAGCCGGTATCAGCGTTGCTAGCGTCGACTCTCCCACAATCGCGCCTCCGCCTGCCGCTCACGTGCAACAGCATCCGGCAGCTGGTTCTCAGCCGGTGCAAAGACAGTCTAATATACCTTGGGCACCACGGCCTATTCATCTCCTAAGGTGTCCGAGCTTCAATCCTCCCGCTTTCGATGCCGACGAGCCACCGCCACCTATGCCTACACCACCACCACTGTATGACGTCGTCGTCGGGACGCCTAGCGTAGATGGTCTTGCCGATTATTTCACGAGGTTGGCCAATTACGACGATGGCGATTCAGACAGTGCAGACGAGGCGGTCGAAACACCCAGCAGACTCACCGAGCGAAGCGGGCGAGTTAACGTGCCCCATCCGAGAACCCCAGGAGGTAGGATGGTTCCAAGCAGGAGCTTGGAGATTCAAAGGCCAGCAATTCCTATGACGTTAAACATGGCCGGGGCATTATCAGAACGCAGAGGCTAACGGGGCCTCTCGATCATTCTTGCGAAGACGACGCATAATATCGTACGCCGCTCAGCCTAATAAATGGCTTACGAATCTCGAATTTAATCCACGATCACTATCATCGGTATTGGAGTATTGGATTGATACCCTAACGAGGCATGTTGGGAAAAGTTTTTTTTTTTTTCTCACTAGAGGCTTTTCGAAGACATACACTTTTGACGGGGAGCACATAAGTTTGTTAATAGAATGCACTCCCAGCGGAAGAATGAAGCTGTACGACGAACATAGTTGGTGGCACGAGGTGGCGTTCGGGTTACGTTGTCGGCAGACACATCACTATTCCTAGACTCCTACTTATTTCATGACTTGGGCCGTGTGGATAACATGATGGTATATATCGGTATGAAGTAGTATTAAAAAAATACATAGCTGTTTGCTTAGATTCTGGATTCGATCTCGAGGTTGTCCAATTGTGCTGCTACCATAGACACTTCTTGGTCTTGCTTGCGGAGCTTGTATATTGGGAGAAAACGGGTTGCATGAAGGTACCTGTTAGCTACCTCCTACACAGTACATCTCATCTTGTCTTCTCTGGCTCTTTTTGTTCTCTAAGGTCGTTCACTCTATTTATTCACCTAACTCTGGTAGTATCTTGTCGCATGTAAAGCGACCAAAATATCCATATACCTCACATCTAGATCCCAGGGGAACTTACATTGTTGGGGACATGATTAGGAACCACTTGAATCACAACCACCACCTTTTTCTCTGAAATGTTGGATATTTACAAGTAACGATTGAAAACGCCGTGCCTCGTCGAATCCATAAAAAGGAGTCGGACCCACAGATATTTTGTCGTTGCCGAGGCAAACCCGCCGGATGGAGAGGGTATTGATCACGGCGTGGATTAGATGAGTAACGCCATTTCCAAGCAAAGACATACTGCTTAAGTCAGCAGTGTATATATCCATAAGGTTAATTGAAAAAGCTTATAAATCGTGATAATTAGTGGGGGGTTAACTCCTAAACCGCCAAATAAACCCTTGTTCGAACTCGTTGCACGACAGTCTAGGAGGAGATAAGTCTTCGGGGCAATACGACATTAATCACATACTGTACGTTGCCTTAATAATGCCCCATCCGAAAACCTACCCAACAAAGGTACCTAAGGACGAAGCTGACCTAGAACATTCGGCCCATTAGTAAAGCCCGAAACCGAATCTCTACCAGGTACCTTGGTGGTAAGAGTATAGGTATAGTTATAGTTATATTAGTTATATAAAAGGTTCGAGTTTTCCAAGGTTTTCTATGAAACCCAATATACTAAAGTAAACTCCCTACTTTCTCTCTCTCTGCTCTTGCTCTTTGCTCTAGGCCTATAACCTCTCATCATAAAAATAAAATAAAAAATAAAAGAGTGAATCCCCCCAAACAAATCCACGAAATGGCACAACCATCGCGTCTCTTCCAACCGCTAAACGTAGGAAATGCGACCCTCAAGCATCGCCTGATAATGGCGCCTTTGACTCGTTTTCGCGCCAATACAGAGCACGTACCTCTCCCCTTCGTGAAGGACTATTACGAGCAACGTGCCTCGGTACCGGGCACGCTCCTCATCACCGAGGGAACTTTCATTACAAGGAGAGCAGGAGGGTATCGTAACATCCCGGGAATCTGGTCTAAAGAACAGATAACAGCGTGGAAACATGTAACAGACGCTGTCCACGCGAAGGGCTCTTACATCTACTTACAACTTTGGGCGTTAGGCCGCGCCGCTAATCCAGACGTTCTTAAGGAATTCGGCGCCGATCTCATCGGCCCCAGCGCCATACCGTATGAGGAAAGCAAGCTGGCACCGAGGGAATTGACCATCGATGAGATCCGGTCACTCGTGGCCGAATACGCCCAGGCAGCTAGTAACGCGGTGGAAGCGGGCTTTGACGGTGTGGAAATCCATGGGGCAAACGGATATTTGATCGACCAGTTCATTCAGGACGTGTCTAATCACCGGCAGGACCAATACGGCGGCAGTATCGAAAATCGGGCCCGCTTCGCCCTCGAGGTCGCCAGTGCTGTTGTGGAGGCTATCGGTGCTGAAAAGGTTGGACTTCGCATATCCCCTTGGTCCACTTTTCAGGGGATGCGTATGGAGAACCCGGTTCCGCAGTTCACATACCTGGTTCAGGAGTTGAAAAAGCTCAGGCTGGCATATTTGCATGTAGTTCAATCATCTGCCATTGACGAGTACACAACTCTCGAAGCCACGGAACGGATCGCCTTTGTAGTCGACACATGGGATAATACATCTCCTGTTCTCATCGCGGGTGGTCTCCAATCGGATATCGCAAAGAGGATAGCAGACGAAAGTTTTAAGGATAAGGAGGTTGGCTTAGTATTTGGCCGATATTTCATCTCGACGCCAGACTTGCCGTTCCGAATAAAGAAGGATCTTCCCTTGAATCCTTATAACCGCGGCACCTTTTACACACCAGAGAGTAAGGAGGGTTACATAGATTATCCTTTCAGCGACGAGTTTACCAAAGCCTCAATTTAGGTGATGCTCCCCTGAGGGAAATTAGGACGAGAATGCAGGTTCTCGTAACTTGGCGGTTCGCATAAAGTTGTAGATATTATAGACCACCAAATAGAGTAATGTATGTTTGCCCTGCTAAGAGTTATACCGTAGAAACTGATGTTTAACCCGAATTCTGTTGTCTATTTTAATCATCCGAGTCATCGCTTTCTAATTAGCAACACCGCGTAGGTATCTCTGTGGCTGGTTGATAGCTGGTTCCTATAACTATTGTCATTTTGTAAACTACAACCAATAGAAGGCTGTTTATATGGCTATTCCACTCGTCAGATAGCACGGCATAGTTTGACTTACGATATATTACCATGTCAATACTTACCTGTTGACTTTATCATCCAAGCAGTGGAAATTCTTAGCAGTATCTAAATATGAACTTGTTTGTTGTCTTGGTATATCTAGAGTACGTTTCTATCGGGGTATCCTATCACATATCAATAGATCAGAAGAGACTGAGTTAGGAAGTAGTAATAATATGCCGATATACCTTAACCCCTATCCATGCTTTCCCCCCCCCTTTACTTTAGTATAGGATTTGTGTATTATTGGTTTCTCGTTTGGTATAAAGTAGATTTCTTCGGCTTCAGGTCTGCATGCAAGTAGGAGGCTTACCAATTCCAGGACTTTCTCTCATTGAAAACTTGCACTTTGTAACCAGCCTTTGGGAAGCAGTTGGACTGAAAGCCGATCTATCCAATTGAGTGGAACTAGTATGGTTTTGGATGAAAATGATACGGAGCACGAGTTCAGATATCTACCAGGATACCAAATTCCTGGGAAATAGGACTAAGAGTTTGAAAACAAGATGTATCACAACTGAATGTTACCTTATTAGCGGTATCACCAATGACAACCATTATACCCCAACTCAGGCTGAACCAAGCAGACAGTCGCGACGGAAAGCCAATAGTAACAGTACACGCTTCGGAGTATTTAATACATTTTCATTCGTTTCCTTGGCGGCTACATATCAACTTCAGACAACGTGCACAAACAACACTTTTAAGGGGCAGTGCACATCACCGACGAAATATACCTTCGTATGACAGCCTGAGAGACGTCTAATCCGAAGATGAATTCTTTCCAAACATCTGAGCCTGAGATACCAGACTATTACACAGATCTCGGAATACCACAGCAAGCTAACTTTCAAGAAATCAAGACAGCTTTTCGAAACTTAGCGAGAAAGCATCATCCTGACAAGAAAGCCCCCGGCCAATCTATTGATGCTCATGATTTCCGCAAGGTTTGTTCCCATGAGCGTATACAACCATGATTCTATCTAACCAGCTCTCTATTTCTAACCCAGGTCCGGGAAGCCTATGAATACTTGATAGACGATAATAAGCGGCAAATTTACGATGTGGACTACTCGAATGTACGGGAAAAGTGGGCAAGATACAGAACATGGAGAGAAACTGAAGTTAGACGTGAAGAGACGAAACGAGCGGAGCAAGAACGTCAAGCCGCTAGAACACGAGCAGAAGAGCTGAGAAAGGCAGCAGAAGCTGAGCGAATGCGCAAGATAGACGAGGCAATAAGAGCAGCAATAGAAAGAGAAAAACGCGAGGTTATGAGAAAAGAGAGGGCAAGGCAGGCTGAAGAGCGTTCTCGTGAGACCGCACGCCGAGCCCGCGAACAACAGGAACAGGCGGCCAAAGAACGGCTCCGGAGGCAGAAAGAAACAGAAGCAGAGAGAAGATCAGAAGAAGCAGCAAGAAAGGCAAGGGTCGAGCGGGAACAGGCAGCACAGGAACGACTGAAGGCTATCTTGATTGTGGAAAAGCAGGAAGCTTCCCGCCAAAGATGGGCTAAGATGCGTGAGGCGGCAGATCAAAGAGAAGCAGCGAAGCGGCAACAAGATCAGCATAGCCAGCCTAGGCCTGCACAGCAGGGCGAGCAGGTCCATCCTCAATATACCTGGAGAGAAAGAATGGTTGCGAAAGAACAGCAGGGGATGTCTCCAAAGCCCACATCCGCGAAGTGTCAACCGGAAAGGACCCCGCGATTTGCACCTCAAACATCTGATACTAAATGGAATTTCCAGCCAAACTGGAGAAACAGAGCTACTCCTAGATCCCAGGTAGAGGACCCCTCGAAAGCTGTGCCTTTACAGCCTCCCAGAAGTACTACCTATCGACCTAGTTGGCGAGAGAGAGAAGCAGCTAAGAAATTCCAATCTAGTGGAGGAACGACGTAAACTTTGCCCTGAGTTTACGAAGGGTTATTATTACCAATTTGCATCGGATCGAATTTTCTTAAATAAAGTTTATTATAAAAAACGAAGGAAATTTTAAGCTTTTAATTAAATGTAACGGTTTTTATAATATAAGTATAATAAGTATATTAAATAAAAGAATTTATTTTATATAATTTTAAATTTTAATAATTTTTATTTAAATGTAAATAATAATATGTATAAACGAAATTAAAAGAAATTAAAAGAAATTAAAAAAGTTTAAAAAAATAAAATTAAATTAAAATTCTTGTTATTAATATATTAAATTATATTCATGATTTAATATAATAATATTATTACTATAAATTAATAGTTAACGAGATTATATTTAAGTTTATAAGCGGGGTTTATTTATTTTTTAAGAAAAAATAAACTTTAAAACAATTATAAATTTAAGTAAACTTAAGTAAAAGTTATTAAGTAATATAATAAAAAAATATTTTATATAATTATTAAACGTTTTTTATATATTTAGTTATTTATTTTAAATTTATTAATTATTAATTTAAATTTTATATTTAATTTATATAAAAGGAAAAATTTTAATTTTTTTTAATAAATACTTTAATATTTATTTTAATATTTAATTTATATTATTATTATTTATTTAAAAATTAAAAATTACTAATATTATTATTAATTAAATATGGTATAAGTATTAATTTTAATAATACCTTTTTACTTTTTTAAATAATATATAATTTATTACTTTTAAATCATTTTTTAAATAATTTTTTAAAGTTTAATTTTTGGAAAAAATTAATTAAGTAAAATATAATATTAATAAATTAAATTTATTACATTTTAAATTAATAAATAAAATAACTTTAATTAAAATTAAGTTTTAAGCGAAATTATTTTAGATTAAATTACTTAAAAAGGAAATTAAAAAAAGAAAAGAAAATTTAAGAAAATAATAATAATAATAAAATTTAAATTTAATAAAAATAAATATATTTAATGTTTAAAAATTTACTTAAGAAAAAAAATACGTAAAAAGCCATTTAAAACTTTTAAATATGCTATTAAGTTTAAGGAATTAGCGGTAATAGTTTGTAAAAAATGTATAATTTAATTATTCTTATAAGAAAATTAATAATATAAATAAAAAAAGGAAATTTCAAAGGAAGAAAAGCTTAAATATATTAATAATTATATTTAATAAACCATTATTTATAATAAAAGGTTATATAAAAGAGTTTTAAAAAAAATTAAAAAAATACTTTTTATTTAAATATATAAAAAACGTAAAAAAATAAATCTTAATATTATTAAAATAAATAAATTAAAAAATATATTTAAAATTAAATATTATAATTATAATAAAATGGGATACATAACAAAAATTTATAAAAAATTTAAATATTAATTAAAGGTTTTTTAAAAAAAAATAAAAGTAAAATTAAAATAATAAAAATATTTACTTTAAAAATATTTATTATTTAATAAAATAAAAAGAAAATATATTAATTTAATTTATTATTATTAAAATAAGATAATTAAAAATTATTATAATTAAAATTACTTATAATATACTAATAATGAAAAATATATTTAATTTAAAAGATTTTACATGTTAAAATAATAATTATTATAAATAAATTATAAACGAAAATAAATAAAAAATAACTTAAAAATATAATAAAAAAATCCATAAAAAAAAGATTATTAAACTTAGGTTTTTAATTAATATTTACATAAATAAAAAATAATTAAATAAAAAATAATTAAATAAAAAAATTAAATTATAATAAAAATTATAAATAATATTTAAGCTTAGAAAATAAAATTATAATTCTTTTTTAAATTAAAATAAAGTTTCTTTATTTGTATTTATATTTTTTTATTTTTTTAATAAATATTTATATTTATTATTTTTTTAGTTTAATAATAATTATTAATAAATTACTTTTTTATTTAAATTTATTAAAAAATTCATTAATATTTATTAAATTATTATATTTACAGTTAAATTTTTAATAATATTATTTAAAGTTTAAATTAATTTTTAATTAAAATTAGTGTTTTTTTTTATAGTTGTTATTTCTTTTTTTAATTTTGTTAATTATATAATCAAATGTTATGTTTTGGAATTTTTAGGTAGCTTAGTAGATGTTTTATAAGAAGTTAAAGTATTATCGGAGAGATTTTGTCCAAATGAGGGAGATTTGAATGTAGGTGGTGCAGCGCTAAAAGAAGGAAAGCTAAATGTGATTGGGGTTGGACTTAAAAGGCTGTTCTTAAATAAAAAAGCAGGAGGAAAAACACGTTATCGGGGGGCGTTAATAGCTTTTAATAAAGATTTAAATTTAATTAATTTTTTAGGTAATAATTATATTTATAATTTATTTATATTATTATTTTTTTATAGTTTTAATTTATTTTATTTATTTAATTTTAATTTTTTATAAAATTTAAATATAACATAATTAATTTTAATTATTAATTAAATAAAATTTATTATTTTCAATAAATAATAAATAATTATAAAAAGAATTTTTAAATTTTATTATTTTTAATTATTATAAATATATAATATTTTTATTATTTTTATTTTTAAAAAATTAAAATTACATATATTATTAATTTATTTTTATTAATATTAAATTTTAAATAATTTTATTAAAGTTAAAATTTATTTTTAATTTATAATATAATAATAATTTTTATTAATATAATTTAAGATTTTATAAGTTTATATAAATAATTAAATTCATATTATTTATATTAAAATAATTAATTTTATAATAATAATTTTTATTTAAGTAATTATTTTTATTAATATTTTATTAAATTTTTAAAAATAAAAATAAATTCTTTTTATAATAAAAGTTTCATTTTAAGATAATATTAAATATTATCTAATAAGTTGTTTATGTAAAAAAGAATATCTTAAAAGATATTATTTAAGGAAATATTAATGTAAAAAAGATTTAATATTAAAATTATTATTTAAATTTAAATAAAAGGTATATTTATATTTAAAAGGAAAAATGGTATTTAAAAGGTGTAATTTAAAAAAATGTTATTTTTTAAAAATATTAATATTTAAAATAAGGTTATAAAGGTGTAATATATTTTTATTTATTTTATTAAATAAAGTGAATAAGTTTTATTTTTATTTATATTTATATATAAATTTTAAAATGTTTTTTATTAAAAGTTCTTCTAAGTATTATTAGTTTTTTTAATATAAATTTCTTTAAATAAGTTAAGTTTTTTTATTTGTTAATATTAAATAAATGATTAATATTATTTTATATATTTTTTAGTTTTTTTAATAAATAATATTTTTTATAAAAATAAAGGTAAATCTTTTTTTTAATTTTAATATATTTCTTTTTAAATTTTAAAACTTAGCGAATTTTTTAATATTTTTAAAAATAATAAAAGGGATTTTATTTTAAAATTAAAATAAAAAAAATTTAATTTATATTTCATTTTAGTTATTTACTTATAAATAATAATTTATTATTTTTAAAATTATTTCGTGATTTTTTAAAGTGTTTATTATAAGTTAAATATAAATTTCGGGTTTTTATCCAATATTATTTTAATTAGTAAACCTTAATTTACAATAAATAATATAATGTACAATATATTAATTTAATTTTTTATAATGTATTTTATGTTTTTATTTTAAATAATATTAATTATTAAAATTTGAAAAAAGTTAATAATAAAATTTATAATAATAATATAAGATAATTATAAAAGTTTATAAATTAATTTAAATTAATTTAATATTTAATAGTAATTAATGTAATTTTTATTATAATTTAAATAATAATGGAAATACTTTATTAATTTTAATAACAATTTTTTAATATTAAAATCTTTTAAATGTGTATAAAAACCATTAACCCGTAATTTACGTTATATAATCATTATTTATTATATTTATTATGTAAGGTTAATATAAACTTTTAACTTAAAGTTATTAAAAAATAATTATTTATATACTTATAAAAAATATAAAAAAAATTAAATTTTAATATTTTTATTATAAGAAATAAAAATAAATAAATATAAAATAAAGATAAAAAGCATTAATGTAAAATACATATAATTTATAAGTTAATAATGCTATAAAAATATATTTAAATATATAAAATAAAAAAATTAATTAATAATATATAATAAAAAATATTTAAACTATAAATTATAAAATAAAAATTAAATAAAAGAATTATTTATTTAAAATTAAAAAAAACCATTTAAATGAATTTAATATAATAATAATAAAGTATATATTTACAACTTTTAAAAAAACTTATTAAATTATACTTTTATATATATTACAATTAGTAGTTTAACGTAATAATTTAAGCGTTTACCTTTTTTATAAAAATGTAAATTTAAATTTTACAATTATCATAAGGTTGTTCAATATATAATAAATTATTTAATTAAAAAATAACCATTTTATGAACAGTTATTTAATTACTTTAATAATAAAGCTACTATAACTTTATTAAATTAACATTTAATTGCTTTAAGCTTTAAAGTAATAGCTTTTTCAAGCGTTAAATGGGTTTAAGGATTATATATATTACTTAAAAATAGTTTTAAAGTTATTACCATATGTTTTAACTTCCTGTTATTATATAATATTATTAATAGCCCTTTTAAGTTTTATTAATATTAAGGATTATATATACTAATATTAATACAATTTCTTAAGGTTATATATATATAATAAATAAACTTGGAATTAAGCTGTATTTTAATAACGGCTTTTAAGCAAAAGCAATGGGGGATTTCCTATATAATAACTATAACACGTAAGTACAAACGTATGTAAATAACTTTACTCAAGCCGTCCAATACCCTTAAATAACAATGAAAACGTTAAAATCTCACCCGGACGTAAAATATATCATTATCATTATTATCATTAAGATGTATTATAATTAATAAAATTAAATAAATAAATAAAATAATAAAAATGATTAAAGGAAAAATTAAAATAATATATAATAAATTTACTAATATATATAAAAAAATATTAAAGAAACTGCCTTAAATTATTGGTAAAAGAAATTAAATATTAATATAAAAATCTTAAATTATAAAC